TTGACCAATTTGAAAAAAGCCTGACAAAAAAGGAGAAGCTTAAAAACACTGAGCTCCCGTGAGTTTTACAAAAATCAGCAGCCAGATAGAGGAGACCCAGATTTGTGTGCTCAGTAAAGAACAGGTGGAAGTGTGAACCCAGCTGCATTATTTGAGACAAGAGAATCCAAAACTGTCTTCAAAAAGCAGGCTCCATAAGGTTTGCTGTCAATGGAACTACTTGTTTGTCATTTAGAGGCAGGGACATTTTTTCCTTGTTTGTTTGTTTGGGTTTTTGTTTGTTTCAAATAAAATATATTTAAAAGAAGCCCAAGGCTTATGCCTGAGATGATTTTTAAAATGTTCATTGCTGCAGAACATTGGCACTCTTTATAAAATTATTCACAATACCCGATCTTGTTGAGAACAGGTCCTGAAATTCCTACCTGAAATGAAATCCCTTTGGGCCAGTGTTTTCTCTCTGCTGTGGAAAGGTCTGTTTCCATTTCTCCTCATGCCAAAGCTAGCTCTGACCCTTTTCTCTTTCTTAAAGTACTGTGGTGCCACCAACCTTAAAGAAATGAAAAGTCATGAGTCAGATGCCAAAAAAAATGCCTGCTCTTGAAAATTATGATATGTTGATAAAATATATTTTCCTTTGGATTTGGTTAGTCTTTGAAATTTTTAAAATCCTTCAACTTCTTGAGAGAGAGAAGTCACAATGTTCCACTTTCATTAGCATATTGTGAGAAAATACTTTGAGCCCTTGGTACTACAGGATATTTCATCCTTCATGGCTGTCCCTTAAATGGCAAACCCACTGAGCTGAAAACTCCTCCACAGCTTTCACATCCCCAGTCTTCCATCAGTCTGAGAAAGAGCACCACTCTGCTAAACAAGGAACCTACAGGAAAACCCTCTGAATGGTTTGTTTCTTCTTTCAGTTTGCCTCATGCAAGGAAAAAATCATGATTGCTTACAGGTGATGAAAAGGGAATATTGATGGAACTGAGAAATTTAGAATGTGGCATTTGGTCAATACAAAAGGAAGATATGGGGAGAAGGAAGGTTCCTAAGATGAGGGGAGGTCTAGAATCATAAAGAAATATGCATTGGTCATGCAAAGGGCATATGTTATGATGCCCTATGCAAGACAACAAGTGAACATTTGTTGTTATGTACTGAGAAGAAAAGGTCATGGATTCCATTATAATGATTGGGTGTTCAAGTTTAGGAAAGTCATTTACATGATATGTTACAATAGCTGTACTGATATTCCATTTCTAGATTTCACAGCAGTCTGCTCTAGACAGGACTTCAGAGAAATTGATCTAATAGAATGCCTGCAGGTGACAAGACTTCGGATGTTACTAGGCAAGGGTAACTTGTACAAACCAGGCAATGAAATTCTCTTGAAGGCTTTCATGTATCATTCCAACTTTGGGATATAGTATATTGAACTACACTGGGCTTCCCACACACTGTTGATTGGACAACAGTGTCAGATGTTTAATCATTACAAAATAAATGTGTTCAAAGCAGAAAATGACCACTTATAGTTGGAAATACTGTCAATAACAGCTCAATCTTTTCATAGAGACCCATCAAAAAATGAGATTACTTTTACGGTTTCTTCTTTATTTCTCTCTAATAAATTCTACTGCTTTTGTGCCAAAATAATGCAAAATAATTTGCTGTGTCTAGGACTTTTTAGACATAAGGAAAAACATTGCCAAAAGCCTAAGAGAGGTGAACCTTCCCATCTGCTCAACACTGTTAAAGACACATCTGGAGTGACAATTCTAGTTTATTGCTCCCCGGCTCAAGAAAGACATGGACATAGAACAGCGAGTCAAGTGAAGGGCAAGGAAGATAGTTTAGGAATTGGAGCATGTCATATAAGGAAAGGCTGAGAGATGGAACTAGTTAGCCTAGAGAACAGGAGGCTCAGAGGTATCTTATAGAAGTGAGTAAATATCTGATGGGAGGGTGTGAGCAACACTGAGCCACGCTCTTTTCAGCAGTGCCCAGTGATAGAGCAAGTGACAATGGGCAGAAACTGAAATACAGGGGGTCTTGTCTGAACACAAGAAAACACTTTTTTACTAAGCAGATGACTAAGCACTGGCACAGGTAGCCCAGAGAGGCTGTGGAGTCCCCATGCTTGGAGAGATTCAAGGCCATCTGGATGAAGTCTTTAGCAACCTGCTCTAGCTGACCCTGCTTGACCATCTGGACCAGGTTGGCTGGACCAGATGTCCTCCAGTGGTGCTTTCCAATCTGAATGTTTCTGTGATTATGTGCTTTTCAGCAAAACATTTTTTGTCACAATATTGGCTTGGAGCAAATCTACACTCCAACTCCCATAACTTTCGAAACCTGTATTCTGCAAGAGTTTTCAGCTTTCCCTTTTAAGTTATAAGAAACTGTATATAAGAACCTATACTCTTTGTGTTCATTTTGTACTTTCCACAGAGCAGTAAGATTTCATGTGCTTGACCCAGTATAAAGCAATTAATACAAATACAGAACAGATATAATAACTGTGTCAGTAATTAATAAGCAGAAAGGTGAGTAGGATAGCCTCATGTAATATTTTCTTCATAAAATTATCTTGGAGACACTTGCATCTTATGGTCTTAGACCTTTTATATTTTGGTTAGTTTGTGCTTAAAGCTGTGATTCATGGACACTTGCTCTAGTGAATGCAGTTACTTGAGCTACATCCTTTACTTGGCATATTCAGGACCCCCCCCAAATTATCTGAAGGGTTGAGTATGGACTACCTATGTATACCTCTAACAACATGATCATTATATCTAGTAGTACCATTCCAGTCATGTTTTAGTTATTTCTGATGGTAAACATATGGTGGTACTTCACCTTCTTCTCATAATCTTATTTTTTTCAGTCTTGCTTCCTTTAGTGGAAGCTTCCTTTGTTTCCTTGAAGTGGCTGCTTGTTGTTAATGAATGGATAAATTCTTCAGCACCAGCCTGTTACATGAAGGCTATCTTCCCTGCTGGTCACAGATGGTGGGAAGTGATTTTATTGATTTGTTAGTACTTAGCTAGAAGGATTACATCTAGCAGTAATAATGTGGCCAGGCCCTGGGACAAATCACCACACGAGTTAGTAGAGGGTTTGTGTCTTAAACTGAGTGTGACATTATTATATTTACCAGCCTTTCATGGTGTTGTGCTTATTAACACCACTGTAATCTCTTCTGAGCCATCTGTCGGTCATTCAAGTTTCTGTTTTCTTCATGTGCTGGAAAAGCTGGGAGACTTCAGTTTCTGAACTGAACTCGGACATTATCCTACTAAAGTTCTGCTGGTAACCATAGTGCTTATTATGTTTTTTCTTTATAATTTGTATTATCAAAATTGTGTCCTGCAGAAAATCTCTTGGGGGGACACAGGCAGATGGCCACAGTAATTCCTCTCAAATTCAAAGGGTCATGAAGGTTCATGGCTTTCAGAATTTGTGTGAGAGGTATTGGTGTGGCTGGGAGAAATCTGGTCCCTCTCCCTATTCCAAACCTGGCAAATTTGGCAGAAAGAAGCATTGAACACTGCCAGCATATATTTTTTTTCTCTTTGGTTTGTGCTCATCAGATGATCTCTCTGGAAACCAGAGCTGTTTCCATGCTGTGACCTCAGCAGAAGCATAACTGAGAGGTCTTAAGTATCAGCACCTGTTAGCAGTAGGTTTTACCTCACATTTTACCTGAAAGTGCAGTTTTCTCTGTATTTTAACTTCGCATTTCTAAGTAGCCTGAATGATTTCATTCACTGACAGGCACATGTGTGAGCAGAGGACACTTCAGAGCTAGAGGCATGAGCTTTTGGCCAGTGGATTACATGCAGGTGATCTCCTGTAGAGAAAAGCTGTTGCGTTCATTTCCAGCTCCTCAAAATGAAGTTACTCGGAGCTAGTAGACCAGAAACTGGCAGGGAAGCGATCCGTGTCTGGACATGACGTTTTGTTTCATTAACCCCTAAGCTGAGCAGTCGGCACTGTGATATGTTTCGTTGACAGTTTTGGTGGGACACAGCAGTTAAAAAATGGGTCTGATCGATAAGAGCCCTTGTCACCCACATGAGAGGTGTGTGTGGACTATGACATGGGTGGCACTAACGGAGTTTAAGAAGCGTATGAAGAAAGTGCTGAAGCGTAGGACTCTAAGGAAGGGACGGTGGAGCGGCGACAGCGCTGGCTTAAGGCAAGAGGGCTGCAGCTGGGGCCAGCACGCCTCACGTCCGGGGGAGCGCCGGCAGCACTGGGTGCCCAAGGCTTCCCAGCATCCCAGCCAGCCCCGCAGCAAACCCGCACCCGCCTCCCACGAGTGGCCCTGCAGCCCTGGCGGGAACCCGGGCGAGCACCTGCGGTGAGGAAAGCTGGAGGAGGACGTGAGGGCGGCGGTGCCGGAGCCAGCGCTGCGGCCGTGCGGCCGCCAGGCGAGCCCGGGGGGCGGCGGGGAGAGAGAGGCGCGGCCGGCCCGGGTGCCCGGCGCGGGCAGGGGCAGAGGCAGCGGCGCCGCGCCTCGGACTCCGCCTCACCGGCACCGAGCTCCCCTCCCTCCCTCGCTCCCTCCTCCAGCGCCAGGCTCGCAGCAGCGGAGCATCGCGGCGGCGGCGGCAGCACCCGCCCTTCCCGGCCGGCCGGCGGCGCGCACCGCCCCCCCGCTCCCGCACGCAGCCCGCCGGCGGCGATCCGGAGCCCTCCGCGCCACCGCACCCCCGCCCCGCACGCCCACCGCCGGGAGGATGGGCTGCGGGCGGCGGCGCGGCAGCCCCTGAGCTCCCCGAAGCCGCGGAAACAAAGGGAGCGAGCAGCGGCAGCACCGGGCCGGGGTGGATGCAAGCAACCATGAAAGGCTGGGTCTCCGCCTCCTCCGCTGCTGCCAGAGAGCTGCCGGCTGCCGCTGCTCGGAGGACTACCCTGTGAAGGGGGCGGAGGAGAGGCTGGCTGGGTTCGCCGTGCAAAGGTAGAAGGTGTAAGGGAGAGGCGGCAAGAAAATGTCTTCTTCGGTGGGGCCCCGCGGCCCTCGCCCGCCCACGGTGCCCCCCCCGATGCAGGAGCTGCCCGACCTGAGCCACCTGACAGAGGAGGAGAGGAACATCATCATGGCAGTGATGGACCGGCAGAAAGAGGAGGAAGAAAAAGAAGAGGCCATGCTCAAGTAAGCAGACGCTAGTCATTCATTCATTCAGGCACTCATTCATGCACCGATCGCCGGCGGGCGGAGCGGGCGCTGCCACAGCGGGAGGTGGCCGATGCTCGGAGCCGGCCGGCTTCGCCCTGCTCGGCGGGGCCGGCGCCGCGGAGCCCCGGTCCCGCTCCGCTCCCGGACCGTAACTTCCTCCTCTCCCACCCCGGGCAGCTCCTCCCGAGGCAGCACCGCCGGGGGAGCCCGGCACGGCGGGACGGCGCGGGACGGCGGCCCTCCCCGCCCCGAGGGAGCCGGCGGCACAGGGCGGGCGGAAACCCCGACACGGGGTGAGGGGCGAGGTGGGATTCCTTTGGGGTCCCCAAAACCCCGCCTCTGCCAGGAGGGGCCGCTGGGTGGGGTTTCCCTCCGTGCGGGAGCCTCCGCGGCTGCCGTGCTGCCCCCGCCTGGCTCGGCCCCCGCTGCCGCCCGCCGCGGGGCTGGGGCGGCTGCCCCCGCCCGGCACACCCCGGCCCCGGCCCGCCTGCCGGCTCCAGGGCGGGCAGCTACGGGCAGCACCGCACTGTGGGGCAGCAGGGCGTTCGTAATTAGGAAATAGATGGAATTAGTCGCACTGCTCATTCCAGCGGGCGGGCGTGCGTGCGTGGTGGCGGGACGGCGGGGGAGTGGGTTTATCCCGCTGCCGGCGGCACGGGGAGGGGTGCGGGGAGCGCGGGGTGTGGGTAGGTGCCATGTTTGGAAACCAGATCCCCACAGCCTCTTTTGAACCTTTTCCCTCACCCCCTCGTCCCTGCCGAACATCGCATGTGATCACATTTTTTAGCCTCCTCCGTCAGTCGGAGGCTTCAAACGTAACGTTGCTGAATCGCCTACTGCGAGTGATGAGAATAAACAGATTGGAGTCGTGGCCTGTGGAGGAGAGTCACGGTTTCTCCTCTTCTGACAGCCCGTCAGGCCTGCTCGCTCCGGGCGGGAGGTGGTGGGAGAGGTGACTGGAACAGTGCGAGCCTCTGACGCCACGCAGACCCTCCGTGCCACAGGAGGTGTATCCTTACCTCACTGCCGCCTGCTTGCGCGCACCTGTGCTCGGAAGGGATGCGCTGAAGGTGTGACGTGATCTGGGTGTTTCTTCAGGCTGCATCGGAAATACCCACTTGAGCCATGCAGGTGCCAGCGCGTCCCCACGGCTGGGAGCAAAGCCCCGCAGGCTCCCGGCTTCGCCCCGTGCGCTGTGCGTGCTGAAGCTGGGACGGCGTTTTAGTACGTTGTTGTCCCTGTCCCTTCCTATTCCTTCTTGACTCTGAATTTTTACAGGGGCTGCTAGAGATCCGTGCAATGGTGGGTACTGAGGCCCTGCTGCCAGTGCTGGGAGCTGTCCGGCACTGTGGTGCTTGGATCTCAGTTCAAGACGAAGAGTTCAGTTTGCTGTTGCAGTTCATTGTGCTTGGGGTGTGGCTACCCTTGGAGGTGGGGTGATTGGAATGAGAAATGTTCTGTGAGAATGCATTCTGTTAGTCACCGTGGGGAAACGTGAGTGAAGGATCCCTCCTCAGTTTCTGTTAATCAGAAAAAAATTAAATAAAAGAGTAGCTCAAAGGCTCTAAACTATATGTATCCTTCTGTTCCTTGTCCTGCAGCTCAGCTACTTCTCTACAAATATTCAGCTTTTATTCTGTGAAGATTACTGGTTCTGTGATGAGAATTGTTGTAGAAGAATGCTATAAATCTTACAGTCACTGTGAGAATGAACTTCCTTTTGTAGAGATGATATTTTCTCAGCCCTATTCTTGTTAACACTGGGTGGAGAATAAATTTTCTTCTTTTTTTCTCTCCCCCCCCCGCCCTTTATTTTTTTTTCTTTTTTTTTTTTTTTCTTTTGCATTTGTGTTTCTGAATTCTGGACTGATATTTCCTTTCCTATGAGATTATGGGAATCTTCAGCAGTTTCACTAAACAAAGTTAGGACACTTAAAATATAATTTTTAGAAGAGGACAAAAATGGTGCTTTGTGAATTTAACTAGAAATTACTTTGCATTATCTTCAAAGGTTTGTAATGCCCAAATTTCAAAGTTTATTTCCCTACAAAAGTTCTTTCAAATAATGAGAATAACAGTCTATACTCTCCATTGGCCTGAGAAATTGTGATTTTAAATAGATTTCTCTCTTTATTTAAAGAGCCAGAAATTAAGGGAAAATACATTGAAAAACATACAAACCTGTGTACTCGCTTTAGCTGTATTGTTAGTTTGTAAAAATCAAGTCACAGTATATACATTTTTTAATGGGTTATGATTCAACTCTTAGAGAGAGCCACTAGATTTTCTGAGATTATTTGCCTTTTCGGTATGCTGAGCACTTACTTTCTTTTTGGCATAAGAGTTTTACACACCTTTCCATGGAGTAACTCTTTTAAGACTGGAATTTTGACAAGAATTTGCTTCCATAATTTTATAATGAGTTGTTACAAATATACAGCGGTGCTATCAGATGACACAGCTATATTGTAAAAGTCAAATATCATCACCACCCCTTCCTATTATCTTTGTTAAAAGATTTTCTGATTATCCAAATGTCTCAACAAAACTGCCACCAGTTTTCATTAAAACCACCTGGTGGAGAAATGTTTCCATCTGTAACACCCACATGCAAATCTGTAATTTTCCCTGAAAGTGAAGCTGAGAATCAGTGCTGCAAACTAGGCTACCTTCAATCCTGGGCTGATCAGAGGCCGGATATGTGCTGTCTCATGAATCATAAGGGCTAAAAAGGGTGCAGCATTTCTCTCCTGTTCTGGATGTCCTGATAGCAATGAAAGTTTCTAAAACAGTACTTGTAATTTTCCTTTCCAGCACTCCTCATAGCAGAAAACAATAGGAAGAAATACTGGTTAAATGACTATATTCTTCACATAAAATTGGTGACAAAATTGTGGATCCAGGGGAATTTGAAGTGCTTGTGTGAGTGGACTATATGGATTTCAGGAGAAGTGGAAGCAGTTAGGGTCATCAGTAAAGAGGCTGTGTCCCTCTCCTTCAGGTCTGTACCTCTCTGTCTTCCTGATCCCTGTTTGTGACTCTGAGCTAAAAGCCTCCTTGTAAACCCTCTCTGCCAGTTCATGCTGACATCAGCACGTACTGCAGCGTGCCAGCCGCGAGCAGGGCGCTCTTACAGGCGCAGGACTATGGACACTGAGCTCTTCTCACTGCCTGCACTGGAGCATTACATGCATCCTTCCGTCTGAGACCACCTGCTCGCTGCTTTCCAGGAACTTGCCTGTCTGTCACTTTGTTGGTCTGCTGAGTTTCCTTCAGCTGTGTGGGGCTAACAGAGCTTGTCACCCCCCTAGGATAAAGGTGTACATCTTATACTGGCCAGAGTGACTTTTTTTTTCTAGGCACACCTGGTCAGCGGCAGGGACCTTGTCTTCCCTGCACCCTTCTGATCCTGGATTTCACACTGCTGTGGGTGGTGTTTGTGGAAGGGGAACACTTTGCTGTCCTATGACTTGTTGAATACAATGGAGTAATGTGTTGAGGAATTTGGGCTTTTGTGAAGGTTCTTGCTTTTGCATGTTTTACGAACAGCTGTTCCTTGGCTTGAGGAGCACTTTGCCATTAACTGATTGCCTTGAACTTGCCTTCACATTCAAAGGCAATTTCTGCATTCCTTCTGTAACAGGGACAGTGTCACCAGGTATTCCTGAGACCGTATCCATGCCTTCATTCAATGAACTCTGCTCCCAGTCTATTGCATGGCACTGAAGACTCAAATCCACATAAACACTTTAAGTGTACTAAGGCACTAAGTAGAAACTGAAACCTCTTCAGTGCAGTCTCGCAGTCTGGGAGTAGGAAGTAGGTCCTCTATCTCATCTTGGAGCTTCAGAGCTTTGTATTTTGTTTCTCTGTGGCTGGGAGAACAGCACTTTCCTATTTGCCACACCTTTGAAAACTGCATGGAGAGCAGTCTGTTGGGTACATGGGGCTTTACCATGCTATGCTCAACTCTCATCTACTCTTGTTTCCCTGTTTCACACTGACTTTGCTAGATTTTGTGCATATCTCTGAAGACTATAGTCTTTATTATTTCTTTTAATAGTACTTGGCCTTAGACACCCAAGCTTTTGCTGTTCTTGTATGAATAAATGTTTGCATAGAACAGTAGTAACATGGCCTCCTCTGCAGACTAATTCACATTGGAGGCATTTTTTCCTTTTTTACTTGGTAGATACTCCTGTAGCTTGAAGGGAAGAGTTTAATGTTGAGTGGCTGATGCATAGCCTGAAGTCCAGATATTGCCCAACAGTTGACTGATATGACTAAAAAATTGTGAAGAAGCATGAAAGGGTATGTTTTCAATGAGACTGAAGAGCAAAACAAACCGTCATTTGCAAAAGTGTGTGTAAAATTGAAAGAAAAAATAATTTGAAAATTTAGAGTGTACATTTAAACACTAGATAGCCTGAGAGAACTATTTTGCTTGTGAGTATAAGGTGCCTTGAGCTGAAAAAAACACGGTTATGTACAGCAAACTTCAATCACAGAGAAATCACAGAATTATATATATGTGTGTATTACGATGAAGTTTGCTTATATGTAGTTGTGTGCCTTATCTCATTGGGTTAGGCAAGTACTAAGTGGAAAGTGGCGGCTGAGAACACAGCTAGTTGAGTTCCAGTTCTGTTCAAATTTTGGCCAATAATTAGGTGAATGCCTAGTTACCATGGCATTCATTTGCTGGAGCAAACTTAAGGGGGATAAAAGCTCTTGCTAAGGTTCTGATGGGACATAAGGAGGCTGTGAGATTGTTGGCTGAGATAGTGGCAGTAGTAGGAAAGTTAACTAAGACACAGAAGGTGCTTTGTAGTTTTGTAACTCTAATTGAGTAGCTTCAGTAGAGGGGTAGCATGTACTTGAAACCTTCCCATCTTAAAAGTTATCTCAGGATTTTTCATGGCAGTTAATAATTAGGGAAAAATTCATTCTAACACCCTATTTTGACCACCTAGTTG